GCCCCGAGAATGTTAGCACTTATTATTATTTTTTGCCAAAGGTGTGAGTAGTGTTGCTGTATATGCCCCGTTTACTCTTAACCCTGTAACTGCCACCTTCAAGTCTCCCTCCTGTCCTCCCCTCCCTCCTTCTGCCCCCCTCCTCTTCCTCCCCCTCCTCTTCCTCCTCCTCCAAGTGTATTGAGTAACTATGCCCTGTCTACCTCCTCTGCAAGGGAAAAAAACAGACAGTGAGAGCAAAGCTGAAATAGGAAATTCAAGGGAGTGGTTGTTATTAGATAGTGGGCTCCTCCGGGGCACACCAGGATGGGGTGTGTTGGAAATTGACACTCCAGAGCAGGTGATGCACATCTCCATTCTGGCCGAGCGTTGGTACAGACACCTGCCCTTCTGCTGATTGGACGCCTGGGAGTGTTCCCTGGGGATGGCAAACCTCGGGGTAAGTGCGGGGTTTGCTCTTGGGGAGGGCAGTGGATATAAAAACTTATAATCAAATAAACATTAAAGAGGAGAGGGGAATTCCATCTCCCTCCCCCACCCCCAGTGTCTCACCACCCCCGTATTTGGTCATACAGGTCACTGGGTGGAAGAGGTTTGGGGAAGCGTTGAATTTTAGCTCCCACCGTCCACTCAACAATCCTGTTGCACAGCTTAGGAAATTTGGTCTCAGACAGGTTATTTTGATTCCGTGGCCCTTTCCCAGAGCTGGAGAACTCAAATTTTCCCCTTGTCCCTAAGCCCTTGTTCCCTCCCAGCTCTGGCTTGTGAGATCAGGGGGTCGGTGGTAGGGCCAGGTAGATTTGGGTGAGCCGTGCCGGGCTGCCTGCTGCTTCACGGTGTGGCTTTGTGTGCATCTGTGAAGCTGATTGGGTCTCTGTTCGAAGTCTTGTTGGGGGCTTGATGCCGAGGGTCCCTGAGGTTTATCTGTGCTTGGGCAAGAATCCGTCAGAACCAGCTACAGTGTGTGACTGCCCCTCAGTGTGGTCGGACATCTGTCATGCAACGAAATGGTGAGGATACAGCTCTTCGATGTTTTTGTACCTCCAGCCAAGAACCGTTTAGACACCCAGAGAAGAATATCTGCAAGTTCTAGCGCCAGATGCTGATTCAAAAACAAAACCAGCCAAACATCTGTATTTCTTTTCCCTGATTGTGTTAAAAATATATGCTTATTGAAAAATTGCCTCAACCACTACAGAATTGTAAAAAGTAGGAAGTGACCTTTCCCTATAATGTCATTCCTGTCCTTTGGCAGAGAATGTTAATGGAAGGAGTCAGAACACCCTGGCTTGGAATCCTTGCTTGACCGTTTCAGTGTCTAAAGGTCTCACAGGAGGGAAAAGTCCTGCCACCCCCGAGGGCCTTTATGAAAGTTATGGGAGATGTTTGATGAAATTATGTCTAGGGCTGGCACTGGTCCTTTGTGGGTTCAGTAAATATTCTTTGTCCCCATTCCCCCTCCTTGCTTCTGATCTTCTAGGAATCCAGACATGTGAGAGCAAAGTCACTGGAAGGGCCCTGTCTATTCTCTGATGGGTTGCTGGCTGTGCGGCTGAGCTGCTGTCTCCTCCCCAGCCCTGCTTTCTCACTCGCTGGTATTGGCCAGCTCCTTCTCTCTTTCCTGGGTTAGGCAAGGCCATGGAGCAGTGGGTGTCTGGCCTGGAGCGTCTGTGGTGTCCCACGACCTGGGCCTGCGTCTGGCTCCAGGCATGTCCTCTCGAGGGTTCTAGAGAAAGTCTGGGCAGGTTCAGAGTGAGTGCATGCTCCTCCTTGTAGACTCTCGAAGGTGCCCATGACACCCACTTCGATTCCCTTTCGCTCATTTACCTGCTCAGTGAGCACTGAGTGCTTGGCACCTTGAATTAACTGAAGGGCACTTTTTCATCCTTCACTAATTTGGAAAATGAATAGAAAGGGGACCACTTTTTTTTTATTTTTTTATTTTTTTTATTTTTTAACAATTTCAAATACATTTAAGTGGTATTGTTATTTATTAGACGTTTATCAGAAGAGAAACAACTAGTAACGCATATGAGCTAACAATAAATGTTTATGCATTTTTGAGTGGCTTTAACCAGAACTTACACAAATAAAAACTTTAGAAAAAAATAGTAAGTCCCTTCTTAGGAAAAGCGTGCAACCACTTTGAATCATCAAAAAGAAGGTGAAAAAGGTAAGGAGCATTTGAGGATATAATCCTATGAGATAAAATTCCATAACACTAATCTATCCCCCTCTATTTAAGTGCCCCTCTTCAGAACTTTAAAGAGGATTAATTTTATTTTTATTCAAAAAGGTACTTTAAACATATTTTTAATTTTCAGAAATATCTTAATTATTCCTAGTGTTTCTTACAAAGCATTAATTCAGGAACACAGTTTGTATAAACCTTCCGTTATATTTATAGGTTACCATTATCAAAAATAGGGATACCAACTCTTC